GTCCCTCAGCATAGCTCGGCACAAACCGATAAACCAACGAGGCGACGAGATCGACGAATCGCACGCAAGCAACGGAATGCATCCATTCGCGTGCGGAATCAAGCCAACGGTTCGGGGAGTCAACGAGTCATCCAAACAAGAGTGGACTCGGATGAATCACGACCGAATCAAAATCGGTTTCGGACTCGAACTCAAAAGTGGGGTTACTGCCAAATCAGGAATCCGACTTACTGCCAAATCAGGTCAACGAGTCAAGTCTGAATCAACCAAATCACGGACGGAACCGGAAAAAGAACCGAAACAACCGAACGACGGACGCAAAACCCGGGAATCAAAATCGGTTTCGGACTCGAACTCAAAAGTGGGGTTACTGCCAAATCAGGAATCCGACTTACTGCCAAATCAGGTCAACGAGTCAAGTCTGAATCAACCAAATCACGGATCGTGGAATAATACCCGTCAAATCGTGTAGATCCGACCGGATCTAGATCGCGCGGTGGTCCATGGATTAACCCCGGCGTTGGCAAAGAACCCACAAAAGCGAGCGACCGCAAAACAGGAGCTCGCGATTTGTTCACAAGGAGAAAGTTGTAATTTTTCTTTATTTTCTTTGATTTCGTTGTAACCGGATCTAAAAAAGACCGGATCTTTGTAACCCAAGATGACAATCATATCAATGAAAAAGAAAACAGTTTTCCACGCGAACAATAGATCTACGTTGCTACACTCCGGATCTAAGCTTGTTCTTAGATCCCGAGACTTGGACGATTGTTTCCTTGGTGAAACAATCCTCCCCGGCTATTATTTTCTTGGTGAAATAATACCCGTTGTACTGCGTAGATCCGATCGGATCTAGATCGCGCGGTGGTCCACGGATTAACCCCGGCGTTGGCAAAGAACCCACAAAAGCGAGCGACCGCAAAACAGGAGCTCGCGATTCGTTCGACAAACAAGGAAACAAAGTTGTAATTTTCATTTCTTTTCAAATTTGATTTTCGTTGTAACCGGATCTTATAAAAAGACCGGATCTTTTGTAACTCAAAAAGTTGTAACTCAAGATGACAATGGAATCAATAACAAAGAAAACGACGAATTTTCCAGCGAACAATCTGGCGACCACAGTGGGAGCCGACGATCTCGCGATCTCGCTGCGGAGATCGTTGCGTCGCAGCCGCGGATCTCGATCCCGGTCGAGGAGGAGGTCGAGTATGAGTTCGACCAACAAAAGTTCGAGGAGTACCTTTCATCCTCGTCCGGATCTACCTCCCCTCGCAAGTC